TGCTGATGCTATTTCCAGTTTAACAGGTGTTCAAATCCAAAACATAATAAAGCTTTTCTCTGAAAAACCTAATGTAGAATTGGTCAACGAGCAAACTGGATGTCAAAAAGTAATCGGCATGAAGAATCTTCATGCACACGTGACCGAACCTTCTAAATCAACTACTAAATTGTCTCATACGTCTAATTCGGAAGATATAATAAGTGAGGATAACAAATCTTTATCTAATACCTCGGTAAATGTCTCAAATACTGAAGTCTCACCTAATAATACGACTCATATCTTTAATTCCTCTGATGTTGATGAGATAGGTAAGGTAAGCGCACCCAATAGTTCTTTATATTTTAATTCGGATCCTTTTGATGATGAAAATTCTTGTGATAGGGACACTGACCCACAAAGTGAGGATGAAGATTTCTCCGATAATGACGAAGAGGAAGATGCTGATGGGTTTTGTGGATTTTCTGACGATGATGATGAAGGTTATTATTATGATTTAAATACAGGTGAAACTTATACAAAATCGGATCGTTCAATCTGTGCATATTAACGATTTTCAGCGCATATTGCTCGTGTGACCTAATTTATTTATATTAAATATTTTTTCCAATAATTACCTGCTATGTGTCTCTGATGCAATAAGCTAAACTTAGTTCCTGAACCTATTAATACAAAAATAACCATGTTATATCTAGTGAAAAATTACGTAGTTTGAATATTAGTTTATATGATTTAGGATCTAGGAATGAGGATTAAGAGTAGGCTATTACAAAATGAAATTAATTAGGTTTAGTTAGAAGATATTATTCCGCAGTATTCTCTGCAATACATACATAGCGCTTTGGCACGATTTTTTACATGACTATTTTTTTCGTGTGATGTGATGAATGTGGGATACGAAGTGAGCGCGTATGCTAATATTTCTCGATCAAGTTTCATTATAATGAAGTTATCGATTCAGAATTTGAAATGCGCAGTACCATTCTTTCGGTACCAATTATATAGTTACTTATATAATAAAACCCCTTTGTCGAGTCAGGATTTCAACTTCATCGGGATAGCGTAAAATTCTTTTTATTGTTAAATTAAGGAGGAGCCGTTGATCAGATTTTCGTAATGCGATCATATTAACGTAATTCCCCCCAAAAGCGTATACCAAAATCGATCCTGCAAATTATATAAAATGGTGATATTCCTGTTAGTGAATCCTTTTATCTGCCTTGTGAAAAAATCAAGCGAAATAATCAAACTTACTATTATTTACATTATCAATATTATCATTCCAACGAACAAGTATATTCCGTAAAGTGATAACAAGGTATGTTTGTTTATTGCTCAGCTAGCTTCTTGAAACATGTCATCATGATGCTAATCGATTTTCCCGTCTCTATAGATGTTCCAAAATAAACCGAACATATTGCTCTTCTTGTTATATATCGGCATTTTGATCTTCGCTGAGGAAATCCTTGATCATCATGCGTATAATAGGCGCAGTGAAATGAATCGCAGTATCACGAAAATGTTATCGGCACCACGTGTCTCATCAGCGCAGTAAAATTGATGTGGCTTTCCTATCAACAAAATTTGGCATATTATGTCAAATAAATTTTCCGGTAATAGCATCTTACTTCAGTTGATGGGGTAATTAATTTCGGAAATATCGTGTAGAAAAAAGAATGTGGAGTAAAATCTTGTGATTAGTAGCGGTAGAAACAAATTAGATATAGATCTTTTTCGTAAAAGTGAAATAATTTGATGACTCGTATTAAATGGTTGATAATATAGATATGCGTATAGGTGGTTAAACAAAAAAACATACAAAGTATGAAACGCGTCTCCCTCCTCATTTTGATACCTCTATCATTTTCTGATTGGTTATGATGAATTACGTAATGTGATATAACTACGCGTACTTTTTTTTTTTCTACACAATTTTTTTTAATTTTTCTCTACTAAAACAAAGTATGTAGAACAAAGTCTTTCATCCGATCCGACGCAACTTTACTAATTCTTCGTTTTTCAGTGGAACATTTTTCCAGAAGACCACTTTTCCGATTCCTCACCCAGCCCGACACTATATCCGCGATTAATTCTATAACTGCCGACAATATATTCGACTATTATAGACGGGAAAGGCCAGATAGCGACATTTCGCAACTATATCACATGATAGCCAGAGATTTGGAGGAGGTCCTCAACTCAAATTTCTTTAAAGAAGATACGACGCGTGTTCTGAAGGACATTAAATATAATTGGGTTGTAAGTAAACTGCTTTAACTATATACACATATATGCATATAGTGGATAGAGCCTCTTGTTTAGGAGAAGGCTTAAGTATCTGAAAGGAAGTAGGGACTGCGGGTCACTTACTTCTGGTGTATGAGGATTGCGGTCACTCATATGACCCTGATCGGTGGCAACTTGAGGATTGCGGTCACTCAAGTTTGGAAGTCTGAGGATTGCGGTTACTTGGACCTAAACCACTCCTATTGCATTCCCCAATCGTTTCGAGCTAATTTGTGTGAGTCATAAAACTAATGCTATCTTTCTTTTTTGAGACGTGGAAAAAACAATGCATTCAATTATATAAAGGTGAAGCAAAGATCAATAATCAGAAGATCATAATAATAACCTTCATCATCGTCATCAGAAAAACCACAGAAACTCCCATCTTCTTCGTTATCATTGGTGAATTCATCGTCATCGGAGAAATTTTCTGGCTCATCGTCGGATAAAGCAGTAATTAAAGATTGTGGTTTATTATCATTGGCTTTTGTATCACTTACCTCAGTTCCAGTAGATGCATTTACCGAAGCTTCTGGTAATTTCGAATCTTGATCAATAGATATACTTACCTCAGCTTCAGGTAAATCATCTGAAGAATTGTCCTGATCATCGGTATATTCTATATCAGGCTTTTTGGTGAAGTGATCTATAATCGTTTGAATCTGAGAATTAGTAAATTTTGAAATAGTATCCGCACTATATGTTTTGATATATTGAATCTTGTCCATTCCTATTTTTTCGAATAAATTGTCAATTCTTAAAGCTTTTTGTGTCTGTTTACATAAAGTTTTGCGCTTGGTGACGGGTAGCTGTTTGATGATAAAATCATATACTTGACCTTTCGCCTTCTTTTCCCCAACTTTATTGCTGACCATAAAATCTTTATACATGCTTTTGAATTCTCTAGCATAGAAACACCAACGCAATGTTTCTTCTCTATTTGCTTCGATCGCACCAATTTCCGCATCACATGCATTTTTATATAGACTAATAATATCTCTATTATCTGGTGACAACTGGGACACGGCTGGAATAGATGGAGTTATTGAAGTCTCATTATTTGGTGACAACTGGGACACGGCTGGAATAGATGGAGTTATTGAAGTCTCATTATTTGGGCGAACCAAGTTCGCTGAAATTTCAGTCACATGCTTTTTTTCTTTAGATAAAATCATTTCTCGAATCAAGCCCTGTTCGTTTTTCCGCTCACGGGAAGTAGTAGATGCAGTATTCTGGGAAATCGAGTGTGCCTCCTGGCTAGGTGATTCGCACTGAAGTTTTTTTTCCCGATTTCTCTCTCTCATCATATTACTAACCCTTTTCTTATCCTCTGAATCTAGGAATTCATCGATCTCTATATCTTCCAATGATTTGCCATGGTAATGGCGTTGCTCTGCAACAGGCTCCGTGCAAATAGTTTGGTATATATCAGAATCATTTATTTCACAATGTATTGAAGTTTCTTTATCGGAGTGGTTTTCGATAGATGGAAAGGTTATTCGTGATGAGGCAAAGCCTCGAATCTTTGATTCCTCGGATTGGATTGAGCTATGTTCCATTTCGGGCATAGGATTGAGAGTAATAGCTTCCTCCTCATTAGGTTGGTTCTCGAACTTTAGCTGGCTCACATCGATATGTGATAAAATATTAGTAATAGTTCGATGACACTCCGTACCCTTGTCTTGCAAATTCTGCTCCTTGATTTCCTTGATATCATCATCTAGTTTAGCAATAAGGTCAGTTTTTTCTTTATCATTCTGCTCTAATTTCGCAAATCTAATCTCATACTCTTCCATATTCTGTCTTAACTTTGCATTCTCAGTTTTAACCTCGATATTCTCAGCCTCGACCTCAGCAAACTTCTTTCTAAGTTCAGCGATCTGATGAACGAGATCAGAATTTAATTCTCTCAATGTCTTAATTATGGATTGAGTGTCTTCCATTGTTTTATACAAGATGTAAATATGTTCAAAAGTTCGAGTCTGATAAAATCACGTAATTTTGGGCGAACCAAGTTCGCTGAAATTTTGCCAAGAAAAAATCCCGATCATATACACCGATATCGATACAATAAAATAAATCTCGAATACACATGCAGAAATAACACAATTAATTATACAAAATCGGCCACCAGGGCCACTATATTAATGTGGTGAAAAATAAAATAAAATCTAAGAAAAAGATATATATCAAAAATAGATCATAATATATTAATATACACAAGCGATTATATATAAATATTGCCACAAATAAATTCTTTATAATATCAACTCTAAATTACAACCCAGGCCCAAAGGGGCGAATCTTTATATTCATATGGATCTCTCCCATTCTCATCATTATATCACTCGCAAATATGACGAATATACACAACTCATCTAATAACCCAGGCCTTATGGGGCGCTCTTCGAGCATCCGCACTAAAATTTGAATCATATATTCTAGAGTATAAAGTTATTAAATCTAATAGGTCTAAATCCCTAAATTCGATATAAATCGCCAATTATGTCAGGTCTTACTATTACAACTATTATCGATAAAAAAGCTAAATCAATTAAGCTCATTAATAATCGTCCTGGATATGATATGAAATATGTAAAGTCATATATCTACAATTATTGTGGAATTAATGATTATCAACGATACTTTGATGATCTTTATGAGACTGAAAGACGATATGATACTTTGTCAGTTATTCGACCCGATGAAACTCCACGACAATGGGCTATTCGGGTCAGAGTTCCTTTACAAGAGTTGGTTTCTGAAAAGAAAAGAAGTGTATATCATGTACATTGTTTATTTGGTGGATTTGGGAATTCTAAGCTGATGAATCATGATTACTACAGGCCTAGAATCCATAAACCCAATGTAGCGATATGTTTAGATTGTATGAAACTTATACGTATTGATAATGTAAAACCAAGGAAATCATTCCATTTCACTAGAAAAAGGTATATCGAAATTATTAAGCCAGATGATTTGATGCAGAA